ATAATATCTTTCTAAATACTTATTTACAACAAAATTCCAAACTGTTTTAACATAATAAAAGGAAGTGGCACACCATGATCTTTATATATGTGAGATACTTTAATCCCCCAAATTGCTATAGCTTTCTGAAGAATAACTCCTTGTAATTATAACTTATGTAAATCACTACACAATAAACTGGGAATGGTTTTCTTGGTAAAAATATGCACAACTCTTTTAAACATAATGTCTTACCTTCTCTTTATATGGCACAGACACTTAGATATTGCCTGCATTACTTTTTCAATTCATTTGGAGCTCAGTGTATTTGACTTCAATGGCTTTCAGATATTTCTTGTTAGAAATAAATTATGCTCGTAATTTTCAAGGTTCATTCTGTGCATTGGGACTTATCAATTTAGCATGAACAAAATTTCCAAAATAATACACAGTCTAAACAACCTTAGTGAATCTTTCCACAAAAAGTCAGTTCTACCATCAGCAGAATTAATGCCACTTTTCACTGTTAACTGCCCTTACATATCAACACTGTCGTGATACAGAGTACTTTGAAGAAAAATGTGAAGTCACAGAATATTTTGACCACTGCTGACTCCCTTTCCCCTTCTCCGATCCCTAAGAAAACATTGGCCTTCAGAGAGAAACAGGGGCAGGAATGGCAGGGAGAAAAAGGTTTATGCTGAAAGCGCTGGCACATCTCTGTGTGTTATAATGTCAACTGAATTTCTAACAGATTGTGCCCTTTGATTTCCATACTTCCTAGAGAGTTGTGAAATACTTTTTGAAAACAAAAACTGGCTGCTTTTTTTCCTCATCTCAAAAGCCTTACATTGGAAACGATCTTGCAGGATTCATTTACAGCATATTTTAAAAAGTATGTTCAGAGGTAGTTCTTTTAGAGGACTCTACAAAAACAACAAATGGAAATAATATTACTTTGTGTTGGTTTTTCTCAGCCACAGGTGCCAGTACTGATCTTTTGGGTCAGGGAATTATATAGCAGTGATAATGACCACATTAAAAGAAAACTCCATTCTTACCATTTCTTACTGTATAAGACAGAAACAACAAATTAAAAAAAAATCATAAAGAAAAGATTTGACTAAATCAAAATGTTCAAAATTTTTTAAAAAAGTAACCAGAATGTTAAATACAAAACAAAAATATGCTTAAACCATAAGATTTTTGAATTTTAAAGATAGTCACATATAGAAATGACTTCTTCCAAAGCCTTAGTCTGTAAAATATCTGATCTATTTTTATTGCAAATCACAATTTTGTTCTATATATCCATTATATGAAAATGTGTATTATCATTAGTGATATTTTTAATGTAACTAAAAGAAACCTAAAATCTTATAGGTAGAGACTCTTTAAAAAGTGCAGCTTTGTTGATAGGAACTGGGGCTCTATTCCAGGAGGATATCTCATAATACTTTCTTATTTCTTTTGGCTCTTTGGTAAATCTTACTGACCTCTGAGATTTTGCAAATCAGAATAATTTTCCCATAATCATTCTGTAGGAGAAAATGCTTTGATGATAATTTCCTGACTGAACTGTAGAAACTTAGTTTCTTCTGCTAATCTTCAACAACATTAGATTTACTTCCAAAGATACCTATTTGTTAACTTATAATCCGCAGGTTCCTGTACATTTGTGATGACCTTTATGATAACTAGGATGAGAAAAGTAGTGTTATACTTATTTTTTTTTCTCTCTTTCTATCTTATTTTTCACAAGTCTTGGAAGAAATAGGCTGCTTTCACAATTGTATTTTGTCTGGCAAAAAGAGAATCTGCTGAGTACGCCAAACAATTCTCTTCACTCTCCTGTTTATTATTTTCTTCATGTTCGAAGCATTTTTCTCTGCCCCTCCACACACACACACACTTTTTTCAGCTAGTTCTGTGTTGGCTGATAGCCCCGGCATATCTGCCAACATGCTTTCCCTTTTCTCTTATATGCAAATAAAAAGACATGTTGTCTGTATAATGTCATAAAATGTTTCCTAAGAATTCACAATGCATGAGGGAAATAATTATGAAGTACAATCATGGGTGAAGAAAAAAGTTGATTGGCAGGGGAAGAAGCATATTTTTAGGTGAGGATTGCTAGTACATGAGCAGTCAGTAGACAATAAAGTAAAAAATAATCAACAAAATTGAGTACTTCTGTCATATTGTAAGACTGTGAAGACAGAATAAATTTAATGTGGATCATGATACAATTTATGTTTCATACCCTAATCTTAAAAGCAATATTAGACTGCTGCCTTCTATTTTACTTAAAACAACAACAACACGTAGCTTTCTTAAAAAAATGCCAGTAGAACTTCAATTCCCCAAGGCCCTGTGAACTGATGTTCTAATTTGAGATACTGCTGTCTTTTTTCTCTTTTTCTCTCCTCCCCCCACCCAGTTTCACGTCTGTTCTGAAGAGGAGTGTTAACAGTAAAACACTGCTATATTTATTCTGACAGTCATATTTTAAAGACATGTACAAGTAAATACTCTTTTTGAATTTAGGTTGAATTTATACTTTGCTTAAAATCCTAACAGTAAGTTACTACCAGTTACCTTATGGAAAACTTCATCTTATGATGAATTTCCTGAGAATCTCTATTTGTGAATTATTTCATGGTGAGATGTTTCCCTACTTTCTAGTACATATTATATTTGCTACATCTGTTGCAAAAATTTGTTTTCTTCCTTATAGTAAATTCTAATGCTTGTTGAAGTACCTCTTATCGGGAATTGCTAATCTATTAAGATGGACTGGGAACATTAACGTGGTACTGTTTTGTATTCATTTTATTAGAGTATCAGTCAATTAGATTTTTATGTCGAATAATGAGTCATACAAGTCTTTTTGCATTTAAATATCATAGTCAAGGTCATGCTGAGAAATCTAAAGGTTATTGTTGGATTTCATATCTGAGACCCCTTATTCTCTGCTGTAATTGTTTTTATCATGTTCAGCATCAGTCTCATAGAAGCTTATAAACTGATTTAATCTTGTGATCTTCAGTTAGAGTACTTGATGTGTAAAAGTAATTAATAGTATCCCATACACAAAAGGGAATTTGAGACTGTCTGGGCCTAGATTTAGATAGTGATTAAACTAAAAATAAATAAATAATACTTAAGACAGGAGACAAAGTCATTACTTTTACAGATCCAGTATTTTCATTTAACTGAATTAAGGCTCTAATTTTTAAAGTTTTATGAATAAAATAACAACTATTTCAACTTAACTAATACAATTGCCACTTGTGTTCTGGTAATCATAAATATTCATAATGAGGGACTAGTGGGAGCTTGTCAAGGGAGGAATCTTTGTTGGTCTCTGAATTGAGCTTCTGATAAGTCACTGAAACAGATAAGCAATCTGTTAGCAAAGAAGCTAAAACAATCTAAAGAGTGGTAGAGCTAGCAAGAGACTTGAAACGGAATTTGAGCATCATTATTCCCTTTCGTGTCTCCAAATAAAGTTGGAATAGTTCTCTTTCTAAAACCCTGGTATTGAAAATGGGATCATCTGGCAGGAGCCCAGTAAGCACTACTTTTCTGTTCCTGTCTGTTTTGAAGAAAGTTTGTTATTATTCTCTAAAAAAAAAAGCCTTCAAAAGCGATTCTGTTTCAAACCAACAAAAATAAGAAATATTTCTACTTTTTACTGGAAATAGGTGAAGAAACAAAAACATTGTCTCTCAAACAAGATGACCACCAAAAGGGCAATAATATATTTCATTATATGTAGAATGCAACCAAGTAGCAAAAGTTACCAAAGGACAACAAGACTTTTGACTCTGTCCAACTATCTAGGGCATAATGAGTTATGTTGGATAAAAAAATACTGTGAGAGAAAACCAGAAAAAGCCAGGATGCATTAGAAGTCTTAGAGATTAATGGTGAATAGATCATTCTGTACCCAGAAGTGAGGAACAAGAGGAATACTGCAAGAGTCTACTCTTGGACTCATCCAATTTAACATCATCATTGTGTGAGGGAAGAGTTTATAGAGTGCACTGCCTCTAGTTTGCAAATGACATCAGCCTGGAAAGTGATGTGCTTGATGACTGGACTACTTTCCATAGAGATCTAGACAGTCAAGAGGAATGGACCAGCATTCTCTGTGCAATTCAATAGGGAAATCCAAAGTCCTGCACCTGGGAATGAAGAACCTCTGATATCAGTAAATTCTGGATAATAGCTCTGCAGAAGAGGCTTCTGGCATCCTAGGGAACAGCAAGAATATATGCCAGCAATATACCCTCGTAGCAAAGAAGTCCAAGCTCTTAAAAGAAGCCTGACCAGTGGTTCAATGGAAATGATTATACCCATTTACTCAGCATCCTTTAGGCCACATCTAGAATAGTGCATCCAGTTTTAAGCATCTTAATCCATATTTTGGAGTGAGCTGAGTAGAAAGCCACCAAGGTAGTTATGGGACTAGAGCATTTGCTCCATGAGGGGATACTAAGGGTGGTGGGCTTGTTTAACAGGGAGAAAAGGGGGCTGTGGTGGGGGCTTAATAGTATCTACATGTCTTCCAGTACCTAGCGTGATAGTACCTACATGGAAGTTATCAGGAAGACAAAACCAATCACTTTTGCTACAGTGGCTGTGATAGGGGGTTGTTAGTGTTAAATATTCACATACTACAATAGATATTTTGCTTCATACTATTGCCAAAAGTTTTACAAAATAAAATAAAATAAGAATAATTTTCCTCTTATCTTTATTATTTTGAATAACATTATAATAACAAGAACTCTAATCTTTCCAACATCCTTACACAAAATTCACTTCCTTAAGAAGTTAGATTACACAATCAGACTCGGTGGTGTCTTTCAGCAGTTGTTATTATGCAAATCTTCATGTGTTTATAATACGTACTTATGTTCTAGGTGTGAACATATACCCACATCGAACATGTTATTATTCTTCCAGAAATAATATATATATTTTTTTATTTTTCTTTTTCTTTTCCTGAATAGAAATTGAAAAGGAAAGCTGTGGGGATCCTGGAACACCATTATATGGTATCAGAGAAGGGGATGGATTTTCCAACCGGGATGTTTTAAGGTTTGAGTGTCAGTTTGGATTTGAACTAATCGGAGAGAAATCTATCGTTTGCCAAGAAAACAACCAGTGGTCTGCAAACATACCAATTTGTATTTGTATGTACTACTTTTCTTTTTTTAATACATAATATCATGCTACATTTTAACTCACACATGCAATGATGTGTGTGATTGATTGCAAATTTTGTACAATGTAATTCATTTTTCTGGTAGGGTGAATTTACAGAATCACAGAATGGTTAAGGTTGGAACGGACCTCTAGAGATCATCTAGTCCAACTCTGCTGCTCAAGCAGGGACACCTGGAGCACATGGCACAGAGTGGCATCCTGGTGGGTTTTGAAGATCTCCAGAGAAGGAGACTTCCACAACCCCTCTGGGCAGCCTGTTCCACTGCTCTGTCCCCCTCCCAGTAAAGAAGTTCTTCCTCACAAGGAGGTGGAACTTCCTATGTTTTAGCTTTCACCCATATTTGCTTTTCATCAGTGGTAGGTTTGCTAAAAACTTATACCCAACAGAAACTCTAGAACTACTAAAATGTTTTTTTTTTTATCTACAAGTATTGAAAAGTAGCCATCATTATGTGTCTCTATATAAAATTTTATTGGATGCATATTTTGTAGGAAGTTGTGGATTTTGTGTGTGATACATTTTTAATAGCTACTATTATAAGTTAATTTATTTCTTCAGGTTAGTAGTTGCTGAATTGCAATCAAGGAAATCTAAATTATTTACAGTTTCTTTTTCCTGTGCATTATGTATGAATATATTTTAGAACTCAAATTTTATAGACTGGTGTATTTACATAGTTAGTTGTCTATCAGTTATGCCAGATAGCATAGGTAAAATACTGTTGTGATATATATATATTTGTGGCAACATACTACTTAACCTTTACGCTGAAATGCTATAGGCCATATTATGAGCTCAATCAATTGCATTCATCAGTGCAAATTAATTTAATATTGCTTAGCTGAAATGGTTGAATATGAAAGATCATCCTGATAATAGTGAATCAACTCATTTGTCTCTTTGAGGCTAGTTAACTTCTTGTGTTTCTTTGTAAATGATAACTAGCAACTTTTTCACTCTTTAATGTACTTAGTGAGAGATTTGTTCTTTTATACAATTCATAAAGGAGAAAATAAGTGGTGTTGAATGATTAAGGATAGTTCAGCAAGAATAAACTATAAGGACTGCTGTGGGTTTCCAATGAAAAAGGGATGTTCTTCACTACCTGAGGGACTGTGCTTAGGAAGATGTAGTTTTATTATGGAAAAGGGATGCAAAAAACACCACCACCACTAACACCTTCCTATATGACTTCTCACTTGATGCAGAATACAAAATTACTTGAGACAATAAAATATTTTAAGAATCTCTAAAAAACACTTAGTAAAAAAATTTTACTCTTAAAGTATGTTTTATTTTATCATCTAATTGCTTTCTCTTTTTTTTTTTTTTTTTGGCAGTTCCTTGCCTTTCTAATTTCACTGCACCAATGGGAACTGTTCTTTCACCTGATTATCCAGAGGGATATGGAAATAATTTAAACTGTATCTGGACAATAATTTCAGATCCAGGGAGCCGAATCCATCTCTCCTTTAATGACTTTGATTTGGAATCTCAGTTTGACTTCCTTGCAGTTAAAGATGGTGACTCTCCAGATTCTCCAATAATAGGAACATTTACTGGTGCAGAAGTTCCTTCTCACCTTACCAGTAATGGACATATTTTGCGTCTGGAATTTCAAGCTGACCATTCAATGTCGGGACGTGGATTTAACATTACTTATAATAGTGAGTAATAGAAAAGTCTTATATATACTTGCATGTGTGATTTGTTTTTGATGTATAATTTAAGACGTAGGTATAAAAAGGACATTAAGGTAATACAAGACAGTTTTTTTAAAAAAACTACATAGCTATGAATGTCTATTTTAGCTGTTCAGATTGCTTTTCAAATGAGGTGTTGCAGCTGAATATATGTATATGTATGTATACATATGTATAAGTCAGGGTATTTTATTAGAAAAATTAGATTGGTTTTAAATTGTTAAAACTGAACTTTACTAAATTTGTTGACAGCACACTGTGCTAATGGTTATAACTTGCATAGTATTAATCATCATCAAGTATACATCATCAAGTATACAAAACTTAGTTCTGAATATGCATATGCTAACTTACCATATACCAGATGTTGCCGTATGGAGAGCACTGTGGCTCTTTGTCATCAAGATCAACATGGTCAGGCTTCTCTTTCTTTGGTGAAATAAGCCAAAGTGGAATTGGCTTGTTTGCTTTTATCTGTGGTTCTCCTTGGATATTCTTGATACTTTTAAGCTATTTCCCTCTCCCCCACCCTCCTTCCCAAAAAACGGGAGGTCTCTCCTTCTCCTGGTATTACTTAGCTTTGTTCTCTCTTATCTTGCTAGTCTTTCTTGTGTATTCAGGAGGATGTTCTGCCTATCCACAGTCCCTGTTTCTTATCCTGTCCTTTGGTAGCTTTTGCTACTTAGATGCCTTCTACATACAACTACATCTGTCACTGCCCTTTTGGCGGTCATCTTGTCCACACACATATGTCAAATGCTTGTATGTTGCATCTGGCTATGCCATCACAGTGTTAAGAAATACTTGCATATTGCTGCTAGTCACACAATTTTGGTATGCTTATATTTAGGTTCAAGGCAAACTAATATTAAATATGTCCTGATTAATACACATTTAGCTTACATATGCAAAAGCCACAGGGAAAGAATTTTCTAGACTGTGATTCAGACCAGACACAGTAAATAGTACTGGTCAGACTTTGGCCTTGAGGGCTCTGAATTGTACCTGTTTGTTTATGTCTATTGGAAGAGATCCTAGTATGTCTTGTTGCCTTTAGTATCTTGACCACTGTGCAGAGACAGAGCATTTCACGTTAAAATGGAGTTCTGCGTATTTCACTACTTTCCATCAGAGGGACTTGGAAAGGATGAATATAATGAAATGCCTTTGTGTCTTCAGATTGACTAGACCTACCACATTCAGAGACAGTATAATAATTGTAGCTGAAATTAAATATTTTCACTAGTAATAAATACCATTAGCACTTATTCACCTTTTTCCAGGTAAAAATCCTTACATTTCTTTCGAAGGACATATGAAAATTTCCATGAGTTTTATTAGTATAAAACTATCTGGCACTTATCCCACACCAATATCCAGGAAGGATGCTTATTCTGGCAGGGCAAACACGGTGATCTAATATGTAAACCCATGACATTATGAACATGGCACATGATACAGAGAGAGATGTACTTGGGCCTCCTCTGTCCATAAAGAATATGTTGCATACTTAGCTATATGGTAAAATAGTATTTACTGTGAAAGTGGCTATACTCTTTATAAAATCAAAAGACTCCATTAAGCCCGAGAGGGAATGAGATTAAGCGAGTCTTGTAATTTTGAGAACTAGACTTCAGATTTTTCTCGAAGGGATGTTATTTTCCCATTACCACAATGCCTAAGTGTCCCCTTTGCTTTCCTACTTTTCTAGTTTCATTCTATCCCTCTCCTGCTTTTTTATTTGTTTGTTTCATTTTCGGTTGTGAATCTTTCAAAGAAGGATTTTCTTAAGTCTCACCATAAACATTTGGTGGTTAGGAAGAGCTAAGATGACACTAGATTACTGTCTAAACATTCATTTTCTGATACTGTCTAATATTTCTGCTTCTGGACTTCTATCTTAGCTGCTTCATCCACAAATTATTTCTCACAAATGAAGAATGTAAGCATGGAGAAAGTGTGGTGCCTTCTTATTTATTTCTATAGCTACTAATCCTCATGGCAAGTTAAACTTCAAGAACATTGACTAGATGTCACAATACTATAAATAAATACCAAGATGTCTGAGGTTATTCAAAACTGTTGAAATACAAAAACAGTTATAATTAAAATGAGATATTGAATCCATATTTGTTAATGGAAGTTGTAATTTGTGTTCCTTATATGCCATTTTATTTTCTTGTTTCATGCCATTTTTGAAATTTAAAATGGCTTTGCTTTCTGCTTTAAAGTTTCACTGTAGTATGCTCTGCAGTGTCAAGCCTAATTCTACTAATGAGGAAAATTTAGAGGAGAAGCTTTGGCAGTCTTCTCAGGGGGAAAAAAAAAAGGCATATCTTTAAATATATATTCTCTGAGTTGTGCCATTTTGCAGAACTAGAACTAAACATGGGTTTGATTAGAATATAAGCACAGAAATGTATCTTTAAGAATATATCTTTAAAAGAACTTTATAGAAAACATGAAAGATGCAGATGATTAGCATAGAATTATAATTTTACCTTCTATTTTGAGATACAACACTTCATCAAGCATTACTGAGATTGCTGTTTTCTCTGTCTGGGCATTTGTAAACCCAAAGTTAATCAAAAAGATCAATTTTCCACTAATTCTACTGTGTATATGCCCAATCCTTTTTGAAGGCTATCACTTTCTTCTTATTTCCTGACTTCAAGATCATAAACAGTATATCATGGAATAGATCAAAGGAATCAGTAAATCAGTAAAAGGAATGAAGACCACTAATATAAGTAATTTCATTAATATATTTTTCAAGCATGGGGTAGAGAAGAACTCAGAAAAAAATGAATATAATCTGATTTTAACTAGTGTTTATCACAGTGTATTTTTATGTAGTATTTGCTTTTATTTCTGCAGCATGTAGTCTTAGTAATTATGCGTGTTCCAGTAAAATTAAACGTGAATTCAACTTCTATTAAAAGTAAACTTAACTTAGATTTAAAATGTCTCAAGTTCAAGTGACTTCAAGTATCATATTTCAGGTTTTCAGGTCTTATTCAGAGTTAGATAAAATAAAACAAAAATAATTCTAAGGAATTAAACTTTGGCTCACAAAAATATGAATATGGATATCACAAAAATGCTCCCAAAAACATGGATTAGCAACTCCAAAAGCTGTGATTTTCATCTGGGTTGAATCTTGATATCTTTTCACATTATAGCTATCTGTTCACTATTACTGACCCAAAAGCGGGGAATGAGGCTAGAAGATGCTTTCCTGGATATAGCAAAAGAAAGGAACATAGCTGCTTGAAATTAGGTTGTTTTAGACATATACTTACATAGATAATATTCTTTTTACTCTAAGGGGTGTTCATCAGGACACACTTTTACCTATGTTCCTACCTGTTAGACTTTTCCAGACTCAGTGCTTTCAAGGATAGAGCCCTTCATGCTGTGTTATGAAGTATGCAGAAGACTGGGTGTATGTCCAGCAGTACTGAATTGTGTGTTAGTTGTTTGCATGACTTTTGTCAGCCATTCACAATTTTAAAGTATCTCTTCCTTGTTTGATATTCTATTAGCTTTTACTTCCTCTCTGATTTTGTCAGAAAGGGCTATATATATTTCAGAGCCATTACTAGATTTCCCATCTAAAGCTTTGTAGGACAATCTAACAAAAAAAGTATTCAGGCCAGTGGACCACTTCTTTTGGCACTATTTCTAGGGAGCCTTCAGAGCATACTTCAGACCAGATGAGTTATGGTTAGCTTGATTCCTGCCTTTCTTCTGAGATCACTGTGATTCTGGATGCTGCTGCTATTCCTTTCCTCTTCCTCTTCCTTTTCTTTTCCTTTTCCTTTTCCTTTCCTCTCCTCTCTTCTCTCCTCTCCAAAATGCAGGTTTTAGCATCCTTCTGAGTTAATATCAGAACTGAAAGTACTTCACCCTGTGCAATGATTACACTGTCTGGCTTTTTTCCAGATACTGCTTAAAATATGAGTGCAATCTTGGTAGTGGATGAGTCTAAACATCAATAAAGTTGAATTTTTTTTTTTACAGTTAATATTGTACAAGGACCTTTTCCACAGTTTTTGGGCTTATTGCTGGTGGGTAAGAATATTAAGGATACCTACCTACATTTTCTTTCAATTTAAGATATATATATAACTGATATTTCAGATCCAACATAAAGCTCCTCAGAAATATAGGCAGACTGAACTTGTGAAGTACTAGGCTTCCCAGGCTAGGATGATAAAGAGCTCATGTCTGAGAAAGGTTGTCCTTTGCTCTTACCTCCTGTAGCCAACCTCTACAGTACAATGACTTCTGCACAAACAGTAACCTCCCTTTTGAATTTCTTCTCTCAGATATAGAGAAATAGATTTGTTCTGCAGCTTCAATAAACTGGTGTTACATGCAAGCTGTATCTGACATCACCATTTTATCTATTTTTATAGTTAGTGCTATTGAAAATAAATCTATGTTGTCTGAAGCTAGTAATAGAAAATGTAATTCAGTTCCATTAATGAAAGTTAGGACTGCATATAGAATATTGAAAAGGGTTTGAACCTCTATCAGAAATTATGCAGTTGCACCATTTTTGAATGCCATACTCCAACTAGGCAGAAAACTAGAACTGTTTTAATTACAAAGATACGTAGTATTCTCTAAGTCTCTCTCTCTCTCTCTCTCTCTATATATATATATATAAATGATTTATGTGTCCTGCCTCACTGTAGTTCTTAATACTTCTGTAATGCAACATCAGAGAAATCTCTTTAATAAGTTAATGGAATAGTTCATTAAAAAAAGAAAGCCAGTATGCAAATAGAATTTCAAAATATGCAAATTGGTATCATTGGAGTTAATTACTATCTTGTTGCATATATACTGTAATAACAGTTTATGGTAAAAATATAAGGGTCTGTTTTACAGACAGAATGCTTAAAAGGAAAAAAGGCTGTTTATTAGTTTGAAAAGTATTTTGAGTTGAGAACCATGAGATGATTTGCACATTTGTCAGAAATGAGTACCAGTCATGTAACACATTCTTCTCATATAACATATTTGTATAAGCAATATTCTAAAGAAGTGTGAGAATAGATGTATTAGCAGTAAAAAATTAATCATTTATATTTTATATTTTATAATAACATGGTTCAAAGTTCTACATTTCTCGTGTTTCCTGAAAAGATTGTTTTATCAGCAGAAACACTGTCTGATCTTATACTGAAATTTCTTGAACACTTGCATGGTGCAGTAAGCAATCAAAGCATGCAAAAGGAAACTAATATGATTCAGGTGTCAAATTTCAATTAAACAGTAAGTTGAATAGGCTGTACTAAAAATAAAGCCAAGAAATTTCCGTTTTGAAAATAAATTCTAAGAATTAATTTTGTCTCTGAGAATAAGGTTGGAAAAATTTGTGAAGAGCTTTTATATATTATTTTAGTAGACATATTATTAAAACTTCAGAATAATATGGCAAAAATATCTTTTTATGACTCCTTTATATGTATGCATACTTATTGGGAAATAATGTATGGTCAGCACAAGTGAGGAAAATAGATATTGTACAAATAATATCTCTTCTTATTGGGAAATCACTATTTTATTTTTTTAGCTATATGTAATTAAGAATATATATGCAGTCTTATTATGGAAAAATAATCAAAATAAATTTTAACTAATACTTTGAAATCTTTTAAAGATATGGCCATATCTATGATTTTGCTCACTGCTGTTAGGCAGGTGGGCTTGTCTGTTCTCCCAATTTATTCTCTAATGGTAGACACGGACTGTCTTTGCTCCAGTATCCAGGTTTGATTCCCTGTAAAGAAAGGGGAAACTGCCATATCGGTAACTGTTTTTTTTGTTTGTTTGTTTTGTTTTGTTTGGTTTGTTTTTGTTTCTGTTTTTGTTTTTCCCATGTGCTTCATAGATAAATTTGAAATTTTGGAAGGTCTGTATATTCTAGGAGTTACTTTGACTGTAGTTATAATAATCTGTTTTGTTTTCTTTCTCCACTATCACACAAGCCTAGCTGCTCAGGGGCTCTCAGTTCAATAAGCAAAATAGTTTATGGCAATATCAGACACAGTGAGGTCAGCATGTCTCTGATGGATGTGACAGCGAATTAAAAATAGAAGAGACAGCTAAAGCTGTTATAACACAGATGTCTGCTCTGACCTTCTCATGGAAGCTTCTTTCCCAGTTGTAACTTTGGGAGGGATGGGCTGTTAGATATGATGATTTAGTCATCACTGAAAGTCTGACAATGTCTTTGCTGTCCTGACTAAGATTTATGCTGCCATAGCTTTATCGTATTTTAGGCATTATTTTGTATTAGTATGCATTTTCTGGTCTTGGCTAAATTTATGTAATCATTGCTTCAGATGCAAATAACTTTTTTTTTCCCTTCCTTCAAGCATTTGGACATAATGAATGTCCTGACCCTGGAGTACCGATCAATGCTCGCCGTTTTGGTGACAACTTTCAGTTGGGGAGCTCAATTTCTGTTATCTGTGAGGAAGGATTTATTAAAACACAGGGAACTGAAACAATTACTTGCATGTTAATGGATGGAAAAGTAATGTGGAGTGGACCTATTCCAAAGTGTGGAGGTATGTATAATATTTCTTTTTGATTCAAGACAAAGTAGCTTCTTTTAAATTGTCACCAAATGAAATTCAGACTTGTGCAAATGGATAGCACGAACCCCTTGCAATATCTAGTTCTTAACGAAATGGTCTTGTGCTGCATCAAGTGATATTGCAGTCCTGTCTGCAGGCATGAATTTCTCTCATACAGGAAGAGGAAGAAGAATGTGGCCCAACTTGGCATAAGAATGTGGCCCAAGTTTATACTTGGAATAAACATCAACTGCTCTATAACTGTTCTAGCACAGAAAGCTCAACTCCCAACATTATGCCAGTAATGGGAACAAATTTATGTTCATGTGTTCAGATAGCTCTTATTTGGTATGGAGGGAACTTCAGTTTCTCCAAAATACTTTTATACTTTAAAAGAATCTCTCCTGTCTTTTTTCTTTTAAAGCATGCATTTGTCTAATGTGAGAGCTGTTCGGAATAATGAGAGTTAACAGTGTTAGCAGTACACAAAAAAGATTTATCCCTGTGTTTTTGAAATCCAGTCTAGACAGTATTCTGATTGGTCTTGTTGACACCTTGGAGAAAGAAATAGACCAGAAGAAAACAAAAGATCATTCAGTTTTTTGATAAGATTTATTTTAGCATATTGAATGGTTCTGTTCTTCGGCTTATGTGTTTAAATCTCTAAATCCTGTTCAATCTGTCACTGCTCTTAAGCAATCATAAAGTCTGGTCTCAAATTTTTATTCAGAAGTTTTTTGTGGGGTTTTGTTCTGTTTTAAATGCAACTTCAGACAGAGAGAGCTCCTAGCTGTTGAACCAGTAACGTTTCTTCTATCCATGGTGACACGGGGGCTTTGGAAAATGCTCTTATCAGTTGATCTTTCTCTTTATTCAAATTAGGTGCTCCCTATCATCACACTTGACAATGTTATGCTTATTTCCCGATATTTGTTCATACTAGTGAATATAGAGATTTTTTGTGTGTGTTTCTTAGATCACTCCATCTCAAAAAAAAAAGGCTGCTAAAATCTATTAATTTTGTCAAGAATGATATAATCTATGACTTATAAACAGTTTCATTTATATGCCCTTTAAACAAAAACACTTAACTCTGATTTTCACTACTTAACTAGCTGTCTTACAAAATTTGCTTAATTTTAGCACGTGAATATGACATCCTATGTGACACTTTATATCCAGTTTACTTTCTGTGATAAATTATTACTGTATCATACGTATAAACTGGGTTTGTTTCACTAGACAAAATTAGCACAAGATAATCTGGTCCAAAGGTGGTCCAAGACACTAACTGGGATGTATAATGTATACTAAAGATTAGAACACAGGTATATTTAAATTAAATGTATTTATCAGCTCTCTTCATTACTCTCTATCTTCAAGTTTTAACCTCAATTTAAAAATATATTTAATTCTATAGAGTAATGAAGTTCATCTGATGAGATGGGATATGTTCTTTTTTTAAAAAAAAAATCCAGAGTCAATCAGATTTGTGTACACATTTACCTGGAACACATAGCCAGTTAACATAAGGTGAACTCTGCTAGTTCTACATGCATCACTTCGTCATGAATATCAAGCCAAAGGTAAAGGCTCTCCATGCTGCCTGAGGAACACTGATTGCAACTGCTGGGCTACTGCTGGGCCATTCCTATTTCAGCACACAGGACAGAATCACTTTATAGTAAATGTGCTTCAGGAAATAAGTTGAAATGATGAAAAGACTTTGTGTGAACTCTTTGGTTGAGATTGCCCTTTGATATTTGTTATGGGTCTGCATTTGACAAAAGGATTGTGGTTGATGACCACTTCCAGCTATCATACATTTCCAGCATTTTGCTTTTACCCTGCTGATAGTGGGTATGACTTTGACAGCGAATTGTAGAACAGAACTGGAACAAAAAATAAGGACTAAAAACCAGAGTAAAAAAAGGGTGGAGAAATGATGCTCTTAGCAAGATGACTGGAACATTTGATTTTTTAAAAAAGCAAGGCTCTTGAAGATAAGCGCTGTCACCCATCTGTAGCTATGAAGTGAAGGACTCCTGAGTCTGGGAAATCAGCCAACTGGCAAATGCCAAATAAAAATCTTATGAATTTTGTGCTGCAGGCTCCAGGAGGAACCATAATCGGAGGAAGGGTAAGAGAGGTAGATTTTCTTTAAAAAAGGAAAAAAAGTAGACAATGTAATAATGGGAGAATATTATATAAATAATGCATTACTTAAATACATAGAAGAATATTTTGTAAGATTCTATTCTGTGTTCTGGACATAAACTTCAGATTACTGGTAGCAGTTCCATGAAAATTTTGTTAGAAAATGCTGGTTTGTACACATTTAGCAATGCTGTATTCCAAATCTGGTAGTACACTGGCTCAGTATAGGACCATCTGGTGTTCTTAATTTTGTTGATAGATTTTATAGTTCATAGGTTCCCTATCTATTATGAATATCTACAAGTGGTTATATACAATAAGATGTAATGATGAGTAATGATATAAAGTTACCCTTATTGCTGATATGATAATGTATTGAAATACCTTGCTGTTGACTGGCAGTGTTTGCTGAAGGTAGTATGCTTAAAGGACTTTTAGGTAAAAGTTGAAGAAGTTGGTTTTAAAACGATCAATGAGGTAGAAACCAATAAATATTAAAATGCATACCTAGGAATGTTTACAACTTTCTATAGCTTTTAGAAAACTGCTTTCACCCAGTAGTATGAGGATTGTCTATTATGTACTTAAAAATATAAAAAGCATCTTGCAACAGTTCATTAGTTTAACATATGAATTTGCTCATTTCTTGGAGAAAAATGAAGATCATGCCAATATATAGTAATTTGTGGTTTTCCATTTGAAGGTTTGTCAAAAAGAGCAAAAATAATCAATTTTTGGTAGTGGTAATGTCCAGAAAGGGCTCTGTTTTTACTAAGCTATTTTTCTCCTAAACTGTTCTAAAACAAGTGGTATAAGGTAATGGGTACTATATTTATTCTTTCTTAATTGAAAAGAATAATTTTGCAGATAGCATAAAGATAGAAAAAATACTGAATTTTAAGACATAGCTGTTCTTTTTTTGGAGAAATATGCTGTATGCATAACAGTTTTTAGAAGAGAGACAGTAATACATTAGGATCTTTTCAACCAGTCTGCAATATAATGAAGCTCATTTCTTTTCATCTTTTGTGTAATGCTGTATGCATAAATATCTACTGAACCAGCAGTGTTTTGAAACATTATGTTGCAGTTTTCTCTTGCACTAAAGAAAGATACTTCTGCTTTGCAACTGAGTACTTACATAATTCTAGTCATTGCAAAATTTGAGTACCTTCTAGAATTTAAATAGATAAATAGCTGTGACAACCTTATTTTCTTCCACCTGTGTAGGAAGAATACATTGATTAGGCTATAGATCACACATTTCTTTAGTGTATTTATTCATCTATTGCTGGAGCAGAATTCACTTCCTATCTTTTTTTTTTTTTTCCTGCAGTAAATGATCCCTGTCTATTCATTAAGAAATCAGTTTATTGACTTTAATTGCAACTGGATCAAGTCAGTATTAAATCTTCATGCAATAATTATTTTCCTTTTTCCCTACTCCAACTGTGCAGAAGTCGTGTCCTAATCTTCAGAAGATCTCCTGACAAAAATCTCATTTGCTTTGTGAAGTGAATATTGAAGCTTTCTGGCAATAGGGCAAATGCTTTTAGAACCTTGTGTTTAGAAATGTGACAAGTGATAGCTGCATTCAGCTAGATAGAAAATCCATAAGATGTATGTTTCACTTCTATAAGCTTTTTATTCAGTCATAGAAGGAAACATTAAGGAAGTATAAAATCACTGTCTACTGATACACAGATATGTATGATATAAATAGATACTTGTGTGTATCTATCTGATGAGTCTGGCAATCAAATATAGACTGTTAAATATAGACTTTATAATACAAATTTCAGGGGAAAATTACCTAGCTTGATAATATCAGCTTTTTGTGAAATTTGAAGTTTGGTGAAACACAGTGTCACCTGATGAATTTGCATAGAAAGATATCATGAAACTAAACATAAGTATTTATGTTATTTACTGAGGGTTCAAATTCTGGGAAGCGTGGCAAGCCTAATTTAGTCTGAAAATCCTCTCACAAATCCTTAATTAGCACCAAGCAAAGGAGCTTATGACAGCAATTAAATCTGTCATGCATTTATTGTTCTGTAGGGCAATGCATTTACACTAATATTTATCTTTTACCTTTTTTATAAGTATTTCATGTATATTTATAAATATATGTAAAATAGTTTAATTACTTAAACTATGTAACCTCTAACTGGAGGGAATTATATGTGTCTAAGTTGCCAGATAGCTTATCTGATTATTAAATAAACTGATTTTAAAGTTCAGATACCTCTCTAAGTAGGTATGCATATGAACAGATTCCATTCTTGTCACATATTGAAGTCATGTGTAAGAGAGAAGATTAATGTGGCAATGATTCTTATTTTATTTCTGATATCATTTCATTTGATGCTAGGGCACCCATTAGGAATGCCTTCTACTAGAAGGCATAGAAATCTCAGATTGCAGTTTAGGAGATCTGCTCACTGCTGCCTTTTATTTCTCGGTGATGTTATAATGTTCTGCTCTCCAGAGTACAGTGCCCTTGCTCCAGTAGTGCCTTTGAAATGTCCAGAACATTTTGAAGAAATAAGGCTATTATAGAGTAAATATTTATTGTTTTGAATTCCCCGAAAACTGTAAGCTATCCTGTATTCTACAAACACCTCCTCCAGAATGAATATAGGACTGATTACTTTCTCAGCTTGAACCTGTGGAGTCCACATATTCATTTAATTCAATTCTTATTTGTATAGCATTTACAGGAAAAGCAGATTAGTTTTAATTGGTCTTAGTCTAGAATAAGGCATATTCAGTGTGTGCTGAAATGTTTGAGAACTCTGTGGGTCTTTGCTCTTAGTCTAGACTCCATCAGTGCCATTCTACAACTCAAAGGATGTTACTGGAAGGAAGAGTGTTATAGTTTACTGTATGCTTTGCTTGCTTTACCACTGTCCTCCCAAAGATGCTACCTTCTTCTCCATGGCTAGCCCTTCGGGAAAGCAAGGATTCTGCTTCTACCTGCTCATTGTTTAATGCACTGATCTGCATGTTGCTTGTTCTCCACCTCACATGGAATATATATGTCTGATCAAAAAGATTTGATTGTTTTTTCATGTAAAATTTGAATTGATTAGAGAATATATTCTCTTGATTTTATTTCCATGGAACGGTCATCATTTCCTGAAAATAAAAATAAATAGACTATTTGTTATTTTAGACTGTGATCACCAGTTTAAGAGCTTGCTCCATGTAATGCTTTCAACTCCTATCTTATAAATGCTTAAATGCTGCTTTGTTGACCATATTGAAAGTCATCACATTTGTTGTAGAAAATAAGTAACAAAGTCTACATTGCACAGGTGTCTAAATTGTCACCCAGGTCACTTAATAAGGCTTTAAAAAATTTTGCAGCGAGGACAGCTAGTGAAAATCCACTCTTAAAATTATTTCATTCTCTTCACTCTTTTTTTTTTTTTTCATTATGGTCTTACCACATTTTCAGATTCTTCTCACATTATCAGATGTCATATTTTCACCAAAGAAACCTTGGTGAGATCTCTTCATGAGGTCACAAGTATTGCCATTCATGCTAGTTTCAGAAACAGGGAAAACGTTTCTATGTAGATTCTAAATAATCCATTTTAATTTTTTTGGAAGGCATAACATTTTTTTGCTGAAGTAGATGGATTCACTCAAGAATGCCATTTTGCAAGAACTTAAGTGAGTGGGAAAAGTTTTGTTTAGAGTCAAGTACTTGACAAATTAAATTGACCCAGAAATAATTACAATTAGCTAGTGTAATACTGTAGTCTGAGGAAAATATATTTTGTTCTTCTAGAAGAAAATATATTCAGAGATTGTTTTCTTTTCTCTCCTGTCTCCCACACAGCAAGGAGGTGCTTATTTGGCATATTTGTGTATATAGGTATATTTGTGTATAATCATGCATATGCAATAATGTGTATATAGAAAGATGTGTTTTTGTTTATACATAGGTTGAATAATATACTTTCAATTTACCATACTGAATATACATTAAATTCATAAACTGTGCTAGACATTTTAAATTGCCAGAAAAACATTATGATTTTTGTAATCTTTTTTAAAAACATTAGTGCTTCTGGTGATGGAATCACTGCATTTCTTACATGTCTAGAATTTGAGATAATTTTGTGAATTTATTTCTATATTTAGGGAATAACTATCTCTCTAAAAAAAAAAACCCAGGCAACTAGCATCAAAGCACTCCCACAGTCTCTTCCTCACGCCTCCATACCAATGAAAATGATCTCACCTAAGTCTGATGACACATGCACTTAACTTCGCTTGCTCAGATTTAAATGGTTTGCATGCATGTATGAAATGAAAAACTGCACAGGGTTTTGCAATACTTTACTTAAAGTATCTGTCCTTCAAAAGTATGAAGAGTATCAGTTCCAGGGTTCTCAGCCATGCCATCTGAAACATGATATCAGCTTTGGGATGGACTAGCAGTCTTCATAGCTAGAGTCAACATCAGGCCAAAATGCTCACATCTCCTGAGAATCTGTTTTCTGCTCTGTGACTTTCTTGCCACTGATCAGCTAGTGGGAACTTGCTTTGTTCTGTGCCAGATTCTTGTCAACTACTTAAGAATTATTGTCAAAGAAATATGCTTCATCTCTGCATACATCTGTGGAGATTAATCCTGTAATTAATGTGCTATTAAATCACTGCAAAACTTCAGGCATGATTGCAAACTACTCTGTTTTGAGTTATGTTTTCATTCAATTTGCCTGATTCATATTTACTCACTATCTCTGGGAGAAATACCACATGCTATTTCTAATATCTGTGTTCATATTACAGTATTTAATATAAATATTTATTATATTTGTAAAATGCTTTAAAAATATCAGTTAATTCTGTTCAATGGTACGTATGTCTTCTTCATGATTGAGGAATTTGGGCTGCCAACATGGCAAGTAAAAGGTATGTGGTCACACTGGGGAACCATGTCAAAGGTAAAATAAATAAAATAAGTTCCTGACTTGACACTCAGTTAAAACTTCTCCCTGCATTTTTCTAATCTCTATGTTCACAAATAGAAACAGGAGTAACAGCAGCTTTTAAGCAGTTCATTTGGTGCATATCTTTTATTATAGGAAAGTAGATTGTACCAGTAAGAGTACAGTACAATAACACTTGCCAGCATTAAAGGAACATAGTGTATTTTATCTTTTTAGGGTTTGAAAGATCTCTCCATGTAATTCCTAGCCTTGTACAATTTATGTCATCTTTGAGGACGTATTGCATCTTCCAAGTGGATTTTTAAAATGTGTTCAATATGGATGCCTTGTACTGAAAGTAATAATAATGAATTGAAAATATTGTCTGTTCTACCTTTTTCCTTGTTTCATTTTCTATACCTTTTCTTTGTTTCATTTTTAGCTCCATGTGGTGGCCATTTTTCATCTCCCAGTGGAGTAATCCTCTCTCCAGGCTGGCCAGGGTATTATAAAGACTCCTTGAATTGTGAGTGGGTGATAGAAGCTGAACCAGGACACTCTATCAAAATTACATTTGAAAGGTCTTGACTAATGTTTTTCTTACTTAATATTGTTTACTTTATGCTCAGAAGCAGAAGTTTATTAGCTCTGCCATAAAATTAATTTGCACGTTGTCTGAGATGAAGCAATTGTATTACTGAATAGGATTTTGCAAAACACTTTAGTGCCTTCAAAGCATAACTTTAATCTGCAGTGTAATTTCTGCTTCTGATGCACTGAAAAGCTGTTGAACATCTTATCCTCTTACATATATTTGAGCGTGTCTACAATAGTTAGCATTTTTGGGTTTTTTTGTCCATTTCTAAGGTTTGCTATTTATCTTACTGGTAACTGTATTGCTATGAGAAACTATGCAGCCAATCTCAAACATTATTTATTAATTTTTTGGTTTAGATGTATTGTGACATATGGCCTCTCATGTTTGAATTAGTTTCTGAAATACTAATCCTAAAGAAAGATTCATATGAGTTTAGAGGTTTGCCTACATGGATTGCTTGTGCTTGTAGCAGAACCTACAAGCTGCGCTTATTTACAACATCAGTCATCCTCAGAAGCCATTTGCTTCAGTATCAATGCTCTATTATTTAGAAAGAACACAAGGAAGTGTATGAGTGGATTTTATATATTATTTATCGACTAATCTCTAACATATAAACTATAACATAACTACCTTTTCAGAAGAAAAAAAGAGAGAGAAAATGAATGTAATTTTATATTTCATAATCTACAGGTATTACTGTATTTCATTCTGGTTATATCTCTGTCATTTGTTGAATGCTTTAAGTTTTTAATTATTTCACCCCTTCTTTAAACATAGTGGGTGAAACCTTGAATTCTGCATTAAAGTCATGCAGATTTTTATCCCTTGTGAATATCCATTGTGAGGTCAAGTTGTTTTCTGTGAAAGGAATGTATACTCTCAAGATGGAGTTCCAGTCTATATGCATTGCAGCATCCATTTTTTGTACATTACCGCATGTTACTTCAAGGTCCTTTCAGATGCCAAGGATCTAAGTGTGTGAGGATCTTGAAGGGCTCGTGTTATCAAGACATGGACGTCTGTTCCTTAAGAAAAGCAACACATAAAATTTACTTCAAAAATGCTATATGTTCTAAAAATTTTCAAGTGTATTCTATATTCTTCATGTTAATTGTTTTATAGTTCATTGTTAGATTGCTAATAAGATAATAATAAGTTTTATTGCACAAATATCATGCAAGTACTTTTAAATTGCTGTTTTGACTACTCCTGTCACAGTCAGTCTGCAATAATGTTGCTTCATGTTTATATAACTCAGAAGTTCCTTTTTATGCATGGTAGGAAATTTATCTTTTTTCTCTTAGCAAAATTTCTCATTGTGATAAAATACTGTTTAAAACTTCTAATACCATAGTTTGCACTATATTAATAACATTACGTGATTTTCTATAACGTCAGTGGACAGGTAATACAGATATTTTACATCCATTTCACATCATTAACATCAAATGAATGTAGTCTTCTGTTTTCACTAATTCTGTGTATCAACTTAAAATGAAAATTTACCAATTACTGATAATTAAAATACAAAAGAGAAGTGAATGACTGCCTTCTGCACAAATTCTGCTCATATCAATTAAAAATTGAGAGATTATTAATCTATTCCTCTTCTTGGAAATTACAATAAACATTTTTAAAAATGAAATGAAAATAATCAGATCATTTCAAATAGTTATTTTTTAATTCAGCATTTCATTTTAATACTCAATCTGAAAAGTATTTTCAAACTGAGAAAATTTGTTTTTTTTTCCTCCAGAAATTCTAAATCAGCTAAATTTCCTTCCCTTGCACCCGAGTTTCATAAAATCTGTCCATCTCCTGCATATGTGTTTATGTGTATTATTATCTTTTCATAAAATTGCACATTTTTTATTGTTCTGTAATGAAAATAAGTAAGAACAAGATGTGCTTCCAGATGACAGAAAGAACTCTTGTTCTGTCTATAACCTACTCTCATTATCACAGTTTTTCTGTCCATCTTTTTACATCACTGCTCATTCTTGACACTTTTGTCACTTGCCATAAATTGGATTGATATTCCTATTGGTGAAATGCAGCAAGGTGAATACAGAAAGGTTCTATTTACATATAGATGTGCTTATGTGTTTCTGTGCATCGGTATGTATAAAAATATATTTCTACATATTCTTACACATATACTTAGATATACAATTATCTTTTTGGTTACTGCATAAATTTAATAGTGAAATAAATGAACAGTAAAACAAAAATAATCTGTAAAATATAATATATATATATTTTTGCAGAACTTTTGCAGAAAAATCCCACTCAATCTTTCACTTCTCCAGCCTGAAAAACCCCAGCTCTTTCATTCTTTCATCATATGCTCCTTATATTTCAGTCCCTTAATCATCTTAGTGGAGTTTTGTTTGTTGGTTTAGTATGTCAATAACTTTCTTGTACTGGTGAGCCCAAAACTTGGCACAACACTCCAGATGTGGCCTCTCCAGGGCTGATTAAAGGGGAAGGATCACCTCCCTCAACCTCCTAGCAATTTTCTTCCTAATGCAACCCAGGATAACCTGGGATTTTTTTCCTGCAAGGACACATTACTGGCTCATATTCAACCTCCAATCCATCAGAGCTCCCAGCTCCATCTTTGCAGAGCAGTTTTCCAATAGATCAGCTGATGACTTGTATGGTGCATGGTGTTTTGTTTTTCCTAGGTGCAGGATCCTGCACTTTCCTCTGATGAACTTCATGAGGTTCTTCTATGTCCATATTTCCAGCCGGTTGAGGTCTTTCTTTTTCCAGACTTTTTGCATGATCTCAAGGGTCTGAGATTCTTAAGGGCTGGTTTTAGCAGTAAAGACTGCATTAACTACCTCAGGCTTTTCTGAGTCCATTTCACCTTTGTCCTCAAAAAGAAACAATGAGACATACCATTTCCAACCTTTCTTCATCCAAATACTAAGAATTTCAATTGATATATGCAGATATTTGAAATATTTTTTTTTTCCTTTGTCATGGAAAAAAAATCACACATATATGATGGAACCTTTAAAGGTTGTGGTGGTTCTTTTAAAGGAACCTTTAAATTCTTTCATTGAGATTTTTTGAAACAGTGAATACAGATTCCTTGCAGGATGCTATCTTAATGTCACATTTCATATTATCACTTACACAGCAATTTTAGCTCACTTTGTATCTCCCATCTCCTTACATCTCCTCCTTTGTGCTATTGCGTATGGGCAAATGGTTACTTTCGATGTCTGTATGCCAAAATGTTTCTGTGCCATGGACCATGTGACTTAGTAAAAAAGGGAAAAACATCTGTAGACAGAACTCATGTATTAATTTTTCTTTCATGTACTTCTAGATTTTCCCTGTGGACTATCTCAGATTTTGTTTTGTCATTGTGAATGAGTAGTCTGAAGTTTTTAGTCCTGGTATATCATTATATCTTTTGATTTTTTTCTTTAAGTCACTATCTGCCCAAGCTGAGATGAAATGGTAGAAGGGAGAAATGTGCATGTCATTCTTCATTGTAATGGATTGTTTATCATGAAGCCTAATTATGGGTATTTAAATGCTAAGGATGTTAATCATCAAGCTGCTGATTGGAGAACTCGTCACATTTGACTAATGAGAAAACACAGTGAGGTGGGCTGTTCTGCTCAAATCCTGATGCTGCTCTGAGTTGATAGGATGTCTCTTAGCAGAGAAGATGCATGTTCTAAATATTAAAATTACTACATCTGTGCAAACAAGATAAAAAAAAATATGCTGTCTCCTTCTCTGGTAAAGTTATTCTCACTCCTGTCTGCTTGACTGAATGTTTGTGCATTCTCTGTGAAAAAAAAACCTGCACATAGGAATAACGCCATGCAGATTAATTGAAGAATAGTGGCTAATTAAGTAGGGAAGAATATTACTCATCAGGAGCACAAATGATTTCTTATTCAATTTTCTAATCAATCTGCAATGCACCAGACACTAACCAGGTAATATGTAAATTATCAGATTATCAGGCTGATCATCAAATGGAAAGATGTTCAATGAGAAAATGATAAGAAATGATGTAATGACTCTACAAACTACATTTAAACTGGCCACTTTTCTGAGACAAATACGCAAACAAAGGCATAGTACATAATCCCTTCTTCACAGATCTTTCAACCCCTCTCTTTAGAAATTCTCCCCTCTTATTTTGGTTGCTTGCATATTCTTTCTCATCACCTTTTTTTTTCTGTTGTTTGTGTTGCTTGTTATATGTATTCTTTAAGCAATATTAACTCATAAAGGAGTTTATTTTATCATTCTTGTCTTTGGAGACTCTATTTAATTTATTTATTGCTTCTCTTGGCCTGATAGTTATTTATGAGATGTTGGAGATGTCCAGGCAGATGCATTTTTAGACACTTTCTGTGTCTAAAAATCACTTTTGATATGGGAATTAGGAGACCAAAGGAAAACAAAATGAGGTGTTTCTAAAATTTCTTCTTCTCTGTATGGATTAGTGAAAAAAAAAAAAAAAAAAAAAAACAGAAGAAATAATTTGCTGCCTAGTTTCTCAACATTTCAGCAACACATATGTCAATGTGACTTACTTCAATACAAAAGGAGAAAAAAAATTCAGCAACACATATGTCAATGTGACTTCAATACAAAAGGAGAAAAAAAGCAGAACAAAAACCTTTCAGCTCTCCTGCTTCTAGGCTCATGATATCTTTCTGTAACTCCCTATTATATTCTATGGGCTTTTTCTATATTCCTATATTTAAAAAGGATAGAGAAAGATAGACTTTTTCATTTGGCTTCTTTTCTTTTGCCCAACTGCTTTAGATCTTGCACTGAGACTTCTTCTCCTGTACCTTGGCATATACTTCCTTGAATGGATTTCACAAAACTGAATTAGCCATCTAACTGAATTGGAGAGAGAGTTAGGAACATTTGAAGGGTATTTATAGTATCCTGCAGTTAATTTTTAACTTTTAGTGCTGGAAGAGTTTTTCAATAATCCATCTGAGAGTCCATTAAAGCAGTATGATTGATGTAAGATCTGTCATAGCAAGTGTGAGAGAAAACAGTCAGGCAAAAGCAGATGCCAAACAGTTTGGGCTTACTAATACCCTGTAAAACAAGACGAGCAAGGAGGTATCTAATAGCGCTATCACACTCTGCTTTTCTCTGATAAAGACAGCTTAGATACTTTATGTGAAGGGACATTCTCCTTTGCAGAGCTTTTTAAACAAATCGTTTCTTGTTGTTTGTTTTTCTTTGTTTTGCTATTATTTCTACTGTTACTTTAGAATAAGCAAGTTCCTTGGTTGGAACAAGCTTTTAGAGTCTCGGAGAGGGGTTAAGTAATTACACACCTGCTTGTAAATTCAAAGTAGGATTCTTTCTTTGATAATATAAAGTACTTTCATGATATTTGTGCTAAATAGAACTGATGTAATAAGGGAACATATCAACATGTCTTTTTACTTATTTTTTTTTAAGTGGTAAATTATTTTGTGTTATAAAGTATTATATAAAGGTGGTATTAATCTGTGCTAGCAAGCCATGATCTTCTTTCTTTTCTTCTCTACAATACAGAGCAGCTCAGGAAGTTGAGGAATTTTTATCTTACTAGAATCTGTTCTGGAAATGAGCATGGTTTTATATATATGGCATAGTTTGTATGTCTGTTAAGTTTGTTTTAACTGCTACTTATATTTGTGTGTGCTGTGTTACCTTAATTCTAGATTTCAGACAGAACTGAATTATGATGTTTTAGAAGTTCATGATGGACCAAATCTATTATCACCACTTCTGGGATCTTACAATGGTACACAGGTCCCACAGTTCCTCTTCAGTAGTAGCAATTTCATTTATCTTCTCTTTACTACTGATAACAGTCGTTCCAACAATGGATTCAAGATTCACTATGAAAGTAAGTCATTCTGAACTGTGCGATTTGATTTCCCCATCTCTGCTTGCTCTAGTTATAAATATATGTGTGTGTGTGTCTTCCATAATAAATTCCTGAATCAGACCTTCCATTTCACCAACTGGAAATGATTTGGTGACATTAAACTGCAAAACAATGGTCAGAGATATCTTTTATAGTATACTGACGTTGTTTTTGTGCTCCATGCTTTAAGACTCAAAAGATGGGAATTGGAATCAAATATAGATCTTCTGGATGTGGATCTTATGCCTCATTAGTCTTATCTTTATGCAGTTGGCACGATTCATTTTTTTATGTGTAAAACTGCAGAAAATCAGTAATATTATGAAAATATATGGCAAATACTGAATTACTGGCCTGATTGATGTTCCTACAGCTCTCACTTAAATTAATAAAAAATGCAATTTACGCTAATCATCTGAAAATCAAACTACTGATTTGCTTGATTATGGATTCTTTGGTATCTCAAAAGCTGCCTTTATTTGTTATAAATCAGAAATATACCAATTATGGAAGTAAAATGTAGCATGCCTTTGAAATTATCCATAAATTATCATATCTTTATGGTTTTTTTATGAATCATATGTGTTGATATATGATCAGATCCTTAAATTTTATATTTCTAAATATGTCTTTTAATCGGTCACATTTTCATGTGAAATAACAGTTTTGAAGTCGCTGTCTAACCTGTTAGATATGTTACAGGCCAGAACACGTTGTTTTCTAACTATTTTTTGTTTGATTCTCATATCTGTTGGGACTACAACTACGATCAGGAAATTCTCATACCTTCTTTATCTTCACATCAATAATGACCATTTGACACATTTTCCTGACCAGTAATGATAATAAATACAGTATAAGTGGAGAAGACTTCAGTCACATAAAATTTGGGCTATTGGAGTTATTGGGAACTCCAGTAAACTATGAAGCTGTATTTCAAAGTGCTAGTGGTTTATCTCAGAAAATTAGTTTTAAATTGTTTACTGTCACAACCCTCACCAGTATACTTCCATTGATAATAATTTTGTATGCTTTGGAGAACTGATTTTTTGGTTAAGTTCTCATCCATTTTGAAGTATGACAAATGGCTATCATAATAGCCATGGTACACAGACTGACAGTTTTCGCTGCATGGTGTTTTTTTTTTTTTTTTTTAATCAGGTGTTACTGTTAATACTTACTCTTGCTTGGATCCTGGCATACCTGTGCATGGACGTCGTTATGGACATGACTTCTCTATAGGTTCCACTGTCTCATTTAGTTGTGATCCAGGTTATAGGCTCAGTCATGAAGAGCCTTTGCTATGTGAAAAAAACCACTGGTGGAGTCACCCTCTCCCAACTTGTGATGGTAAGGATGAATGATTAAAATACTGAATATTGTAAATGTGCTTTTACCTTTTATATACTGATTGACTAAAATTCTGAGTACCTTAAAAACATACATATCTGAGAAACTGTTATTAACTTCAGTTGATAGTAGAGGCTATAAAATCTTTAGTTTTAAGTAGAAATAACTGTTGGGGGAATTAATATCAAATCCTCCTATATGTAAGGAGTTATTTAGTAATAAAAGTAAAAAAAAACAGAATATAATTCCATGAATCAGTAGATTAGTGAGAGTATGTCTATATGAATATATGTTACTGTGAGCTCGTAGCCACTTAGCTCAAGACTAAGCTCAAGACTTAGCTCAAGGATAATCTGTACCTCTGCTTGCAAATCATTTACAATGAACTGCAAATGCTTGTGGTTGAGTATCCATCATGATCTGCTGATATATTAAACATGAGATGTGGTTTAAATGGATCTCACTCAAAGACTGCTTTTTCTACAGTTTCATTTTGATTGCTGTGTTTCTAGCTTGCCATTACAACTTATCACCCATCAACCACTGTACATATTGATCAGTTATGTGTATGTTATACTTGGGGGTATGTAGATGGTTGTTAAAAACAGACAAAAATGATATTGAGTACCACTGTGTGTTACATTTCAGAGTCTGCAACAAACAAAAAAAGTATTATTGGAAAAGTTATCTAATAGTGTCTGTGACTCGTTATCTGAATTGATCATTTCAAGGCATTTTCACACTTAAACTGATATCCATTATATTTATATTAAGAAAAGATATTGCAAAGTTGCTTATTAGGTATTTCGGGTACCCTGAATATATAATCCCTATGTTTATAGGGTATTTGAGATATTTTCTACTCTGTATAAAAATAGCAGCTGAGTATGAAACATCCCTTTTTGACAGCAAAGATGCTATCAGGAATAACATGCCTGCTGAATTCTAGGGTAGTATTTAAAAAAAACTTTTGTACTCAAGTTTTATGAGATAAATAATGTAGATGCTAGTGTATCAAAACAAACAAATAAACAGTCCTTAGACTTTATTTCAAGTGAGACTTGGTTTGAAAGAAAAAAGCCAAATATGTGAGAAGACTAAACAATAACTTCATTGATTCAGGGGTTTGTGATTTTCTATGTGGAAGTTTATTCATTTTCATTTTATTTCTTTCTTTAAAAAATGGCAGAGGATTTTTGCCCTATCTTATTTAATTAGCAATACTTTATTTTTTGTGCTTGACTGAGCTGAATATGTAGGGATAGGATGATAGAAGGAATTTGAAATAGTGGAGAGGAGGATAACTAATCCCTTCTCTGAAAATGGCATTCTGTAGTTCAGGACATCCAAGTCCAGAAAGAGTCCTGTCTTCTCAATCGGATTCTTGGGACTGCTGGACTCCTGTAGCTCACCGTCAAGGAGACTATCATTTGCTGAACAGGCCATAGAGGAGATATGTTTTCTTACAGTGATAGGCACTAGATGCTAACCATCTAAAACAAACAATATTAATGCACTCCCTATGAATACTGTGCTCTGCTGTGCAATAATCTCGTGTATTGTGATAAATTTCTTCCTCTAGATGCTAAACTTGCATGCAATTCATTAACTAAATGGGATTTTTTTTTTCTCTAGAGCACATTGCTAAATGGCAATTGTCCATTGAATAAATATGCTCTAAAGGCAGGATTGAGTACATTTATTCTAGTAAATTTAATCGATTCATGGTTGAACTCATTTTAATTTCATTACTGAATTTCTTCTCTGGTGAAGTGTTTTTAAATAGGATCCAGAGTCCTTGCATCCCCAGGGAAAAAAAGGCATTTGCTCAACAGATTACATAAACTGTGAGGATGGGTTTGTATTAATCATGCCACTAAGAAACACATTGGTCACTGTTCCTGCTCAGTCAATATATCATTCTGACAGTTTCTGAGTAGTTTGAGCTAAATAAAGGGAAGATCTTTTTAATAATTGCATCTCTTTTTTGATAATTATATAATGTAGCAACAATTATATTGTAATTTCTGACAACTCATGAATGTAAGTGTTTTGGAAGAGAAGAAATATTAGAAAAGGAAAATTTTTAGATTTCTTAGCACTACTTTTTTTCTCACTTTCCCATTCTTCATTTTTCTACAACGGAGTAGAAGGCTCCATTGACTGGAATATTGTTCTTTTGAAGAAATATCAATTTTTCATGAGGTGTTCAGATATTGTATAGATCAGCATCATGGAAAAGCTTAACAGGGAAGTCGTACTTTATTATCTACAGGAATATTTGGAGGATATCAAAAATGATGGCTTAAAAATTAACAAACAAATCAGATATCTCCTTCCCTAAGAGTTTAGCTGAGGGAGTAAATGAGTCATTATGACAGGCTGTATAATTCATTCATATTTAAATAATTCATACACATGAAGGAAGACTTAGGCAGACTTAGATTTGTCATTTTCTTACTTTTGATTTTGGTGTATATCTATATTGATAATGTGTGCATGGTATTCCTCATGGATTACCTTTGTAATCTCTGTGTGTTTGTATATACGTGCAAACACATGAATATACAAAAACAGAGAAAAAAGCACATCTGGAAAACATTTTAAAGCTTTCTGAAAATAAAGCATCAAGACCAATAGAAAACCTTTTAGTCAAGTTATTTTAGGATGGGTGTTTGAGGAAAATATTTTCAAAATTAATTTGTAGCCCATTAACAATACTGCTTGTCAAGTGTGACAAATTTCTGGATAACTGCCTTTGCAAAATAAACTTTTAAATATTATTTTCAGTTATTACTGCCTAGACTTCTGCTTTTTTTATGTCATATTTTCTTCTTTAGTTCACAGATAAAACTTTTCTTTAGCCACATAGAGAGAAAAAATGTCTGTTTATTTTACTGGGTGTATTTATTTTTAAATACTTCATCTAAGAATGCAGTCTGGTCTAGGTACTGTAAGCATGGAGCACAATACCTAAGAAAATAAGCAGCAAAATAGATAACAATTAGCTTTAGATGAGAAAATAGTTTTAGAAAAAGGGTTTTAGAATCATACCTAAGAGAGTCCTACTTAAGAGTGTCATACATAAGCGTATTTATTTTGAGCTTTGCTCAGAAAAGAAAAAAAATATTTTTTATTGTTCTGGTCAAGTAACATCTCCGAATGATTCAGTGGACCTGAGCTTCTTGCCCATAATCTTTTCCCAGAGTCTAACCAACTTGTAAATTTTATCTTATCATGTATTTTTGGTACAAATATTCTAATATATATGCATTTTGAGCTTTGAATATTTGTGAGAAACTTTTTTCTACCCAATAGATGAACTGTTGCATTAAATATGTTAATATTAACATATTAATGACATTAATAAATAATATTAAATATGAAAGGAAATTTAATGTAAAATTTTAGATAACTAATTAGAAGTTTGCAATCTTAAAATTCTTTTTATTCCCAACATCAAAACATGAAAATGGTAATACATAGCAATTTTTATTCAGTATTTATTAAAAATACTACTGTTAAAAAATTCACTGTAAATATTCAGTGTGGTGTATTCTAGAACTGTAAATAGTTAGCATTTGGTTTTAAATAAGAAGATTAAAAAGTACAAGAGTTTTTATGATTAACAGTCCAGCCTCGGCTATTCTCTATTACACTGTTTTTATAGAGTTGAAGTCAAAATTTTGCTCAGGAAGCAAAACTCATTTGATGTCCACATTGTTATTTTCCTGCTGCTTCTGGTCTGCATCCCATTTAATGTTACCTTGAATCTAGAGGGAACTGCCTTTTTTGATGCATGAAGCCATGCATAAGATCAAAATTATAACAGACTGTTTTAATGATCTTTTTTGGCTATATTTCCCCTTTATTACACTATATAGTAAATGAAAATCATCTGATAATTAGATTTTTATGTGCAAGGTAAGGTTACTTAAGTACCTGACTGTAAATGAGGCCTGTAAATGTGTGTGCGTGTATGTGCATATATATATGTATGCATGTATATACATTGATTTATATATATATACACACACACAAGCACATCTATCTCCATATACACCTCCATATTCTATATACCCACACTCATAAACATGTATGCACACACACACACAAATATATACACACATGTATATGTATCTTCTTTTCATTGTGTGGTTCTTCCTGAAGTTCATTAATTCTTGAAATTATTTGTGAAAACAATCATTGCTTCTATTTTTTATTTTTTTTAAATATCAGTTATTTAGATTTGCCACAGGGTAACTTTACTGAAAAAACAGTAATTTATTCTCAAAGCTTCTGTTCTTTTTATGTGTATTTTCTGTTTTGTGAGAAAATTGAGATACATTATTCTATCATTTCAAAATGTGGACATTTTATTTAGTTTCCCAAATGTCACTACCAGACTAATGAGGTACACAAATCTGGCTTTTTTGTTAGATTGTTACTGAACACCATAGGCATGTATATCTAATGTATATATATGTATACATGTGTATACACAGATATATGTAGTTATACATAATGCATATTGTTTTTCTCTTACTTTACTAAAGTAACAAATGCATTCTCTTCATAGTTTCTCTGTCCCTGATGTAGCTGGTGCTTCTCACATCCAGCGTTCTTCATGACTTCATATTATTTCTATACCTTCTTTGTTCTTTTCATTATTCAAATGTCTAACATGAGTTACAGCAAAATAAATTAATTTCAAATAGACCATAAACCAGATTCAAAGACCTCAGATGACAGAGTCTGTAATTAATGAATGCTGAGTTTTATCTTATGGTATAACAAGTAAAAAAGAGGTTCTTCCACAAACAAGTGGTAACCTGATTATATAGACTGATCTCTGTGGTTACGGCCTTAAAGATAAATAAGGTAAAAATAGAACAGAAGAGACACAAGCAAATGGGGAAAAAATATGTACAAAAATGTCACCTTCCTTGCTTATTGGCTGCTGACATAATCTAATGTGAAGTCTCCCAGCAATATGTTTCCGTAGCAGAGCAGCTGTGACAAGACAGACAGGTACATGTTTGCAGTTGGTAATACAATGCAGAATATAGTGTAGAAATGCAAAATATATCTTACAGGACCAGATAAAGAAAACTAGGTTTATTTAATTGATCAAAACAACCTCTAAGGTACTACTATGATTTGCTAACATTTGAAAGTGAGAGCCCGAGAGAGAAAAGAACTCAGTAGCAGTTTAACATATCACCAAATGAATAAAAATGGACCATAAATAGATTCAGGTAAGAAATTATGAGAATGTTTCTAGCATTGGAAGAGTATCTTTCTTTGGTGGTAGCATGAAATATGGCCTGAAATGGAGCTTGATAATTTTATTATGACATAAAAGTCAATTACTTTTGCTACAACTGTTTAGTTATTTCAGAGGTAAAGCATGGTCTTTAATATGGTCGTGACCTTAATTGTTGAAAACGTACAGAGCTATTTTCTAGACTAGGCTTCCATGTGGCTGTTGTCATGTTAGCAGAATAGAATGAATGAGATTACTTACAACAAAAGAAAGTAAATAACTAAGTAACTCAGTAGTAACTAAGTAACTTCAGTAGAAGTCATAAGAATATTATTCCTCTTGAACTTAGATTCTGAACTCCACTACTGTATTTAATTTAGGTACAATTATGTGAGACGTATTTCCTAAGTTGTAACATATTTTGCTCACTGCAATGTGCTACAGGCATTTTAAACTGTACTCCTAGCTGTCTATCTATCTGTTTCATGCAATCACTTCTATTTTTTAATTCCCTTTACTTTTGTGCCTCATCACTCTGATAAAATACTAAAAAAAAAAGCAAAAGAAAATGATCTGGGTATATATGTGGATTCTTCTGCTCTTCTTTATGAAAATAAATAAATAAAAATATTAGAACATTGGTTAGCAACACAGCAATTTGTATAAAGGACACATTTCATGTATTCTGTTTTCCGCATTACATCACCAATCTACTGCATCAGGTTTTTATTTATTCATTCATTTATTCACTTTATTTTTAGCTTGCCCTAGCCTCCATCTCCGTGTAATCAGATAAGGTGAAAAGAAGGTTCCTTGCAAAATCTGGGAAAATGTATGGCATTTATCTTTTGCTGCATTTATTTTCTTTTGTTTCTGTTTGCATTCTAAAAAAAAAGATCAGAAGATCAGATGCTAGCAGAGATATTACATACTCTGGCTATTTGCCATCTTATCAGGACCAGTGCACATTTTATATTTCAGATCTGTCAGCTTGACTTTGGTGAAATACTAGTCCCTTGATGACTTTGTTTGCCTTCTGCTGGCTTCATGGAGTCACAAAGAGGGCCTGCTGCCATGCCATAGAGATTTTGTCACCCCTTGCATTCTTGAAAGCTTTTACAAACACCCACTGTAAAATTAAACATTGGTTTGTGCCATTTCCCACGATTGTAAATTGTGATTGCATTCACTTATTTGATATGGACAAAGTAGACAGATAGTTACCTTCAGAAGCATAATAGCTTCTGTAGGCTTGCTTCTGTTTTACTAAAATATAATGAGATATCTAAATATAATTTAATGAGCTTTTAATATAACAATTATATAACAAGATCAGATGATAAGTGAACAAAGATTTCCTTCCTGTGTTTGTCATCATCAGGAGAGGAGGGAAATGGGGGTGTTGAGGCAGCATCCCCCGTAGCAATAATGATGCAGTTACACAGTTGGCACCATGTAAGGCAGAGAGCACAGTCTGGATTTTCTTTTGATTAACTGTCTGGCTTATCCTCAAATGAAATTTGAATGAACTTCTACAGTGTGGAAATTATGGCTGGTCAACATATTCACACTTGTGGATACATGTATATGACATTCAAGCCATATATACATTCAATATTAAAAATTAACTGTCATAATATCAATATACTGTCAGTATAACTGTCATAATTTCCCCCCTCACCCATATCTGGTAGAGTTTGTCCTAATTGTTGAATAAACAGCATGATCTAACAAATGATTTATGACACTTTCTTTTTTGTGAAGAAGCAAAAAGATATTATCTGTGTAGTGTCCATATGCTGAAAGTCCCAAGGTCTCCTACCTGTATGATCTGTGCTGCCTTCTTCAGCAGCCTGCAAGTCTTAATATTATGAGTGCTGCATGTGGCTACTGCTGACGTTAAGGAAGGAGTAGGAGTACATTAGACAGTGCTGTGGGGCAGCCTCTCTCAGCAAGGGAAATTGCCGCTCTAGCTTGTAGCAATGACAGGGGAAATCAGTTCTTTGAAGTTCCCCTTGAAGCTTCTCTGTCCCTTCTCCTTGCTATGGAACTGTGGAAGCATGCATGTGACCTATGAGGGAGCAGTGGTTTATACTGGGAGAAAGCGGATTTGTACTTTTACAGGCTGGAAGTGAGGCAAGTGGCCTTCTCCCAGATTGCCTCTCAACAGATTTTCAAAAGTCTCTACCCAAGAGAAAAAACATACTCTTAACAATAGAGTGTTGAGTATGGGCTTGAATTAAGGTACAAGCTCAGAGAAGCTACAGCTGACACCAAAAAAAAAAAAAAAAGGGAAGATCACTGATTAAGTTTTAATTACTGTTATTGATAGAAGTGATCTATGATGATTTTATTTTTGTAATTCATGTTGCAATTTCTTTTTCATATTGCCCAATACTGATTTTTTTTTCAAAGTCGATAGTGACAATGTAGAATAACTTATATTAGAAACTATCATTCCCACTTGAATTATAGATGCACACCTGATAATCATGTACAGCGAAGGGCATCATGCTTCCCTAGGCTAATGTTTTCAGTTAGTAATTCTTCAGTAGCAAGGTTCATTCTCTACCATTTTAAATCTCCAACAAAGTTTGCTAAAGTGATATTGCTTGGCTGCTTATTCTCCTTTATGCCTCCAGCTTCATACTACCTTGTATTTTTTACACAGTCAAATCATTTATGCTAACTTGAGCCTCAGGCAGTTCTTGCTGCAATTAAAGAATGGAATTCTTAAGTCAGTGGGAGCTGAGCTCACCCCTTTCAGAAAAGAAAAGGGAGGGGGAAACCAGAAGTTCTTCTAGGAACAGCTGTGCATTTCACTCTATATTTTCATCATTCTCTCCAGGATATTACCCACTTTTGGTAAGACTTTAGTTAATTAAAGGCATTAAAAAATTAATCCATCCTCCTTTTTTCCAGAGGTTTTTTTTTTTTTTAATATGTATTTTTAAACGCCTTTCTGCACTTATTTCTGTGGAAATATATGTGCATGCACACAATACACATATGTTTATTGCTTATACGTGAAGCTTTAAAATGTGAAAAAGAGCTCACAGTAAAGAAGTTCTTCCTCATATGGAGGTGGAACTTCCTGTGTGAATAGCTGAATCATTAGAGTTTTAAATAGACCATAAGTTCTAAACAGAGAGTTTTCTTATATTACCTCTCATCTGGAAGTTCTGTATTAATTATTGTAGTAATAATGTTAGTATGTGTTTTGTTATTTCTAGCTTTATGTGGTGGAGATGTTAGAGGACCTAGTGGAACGATTTTATCTCCTGGTTACCCTGAACTATATCCAAATTCACTGAATTGTACATGGACAGTGGATGTCACCCATGGAAAAGGTAATTTTTTTTTTCTCTTATATATAAATATATATACTTCAATATATATAAGTCCAGTAACTTGTGCTACAGATGGGGATCTAGGTTAGCAGTTATGAACAAGAAATTATATTGTTAATTTTTCTTTTAACTTATTTTTATTGTGATAGTTTCTAGAATTCTAGATGTAGATTTGACCGTGGTGAGCATAATACTTTCCACAGAATGAGTAAGTCCCTAAAAGCTTACAGTTCAGCTTTCAATTAACAGATAATCGGCTGTGTGCGCATTAATCTAGGTGCAAGAGGATGGATATTTTCACTGTGTTGATGAGGAAAGGCCTCATTTAGAGAATAGTTGGAAGTAGTCATTGATATTTAGCCTTGGTATTGGTGTAGGAGTCTGAAGTGAAGAGTTATTCATATTAATTATGACATGAAAAGGGAATTAAGATAATGAGAGGACAGATACCAGTTGTGCTGTTTTTTATATTATGAGTAGTTATTGACAAGGAAGATTCAGAAAAGTCCTTTTATCTGGGAGGAAAAAAAAAAACTTTTAGATTACTGACGTCCATGTATAGGATGTTAGCATATAAATGACAATTTAATATGCATTTATGGATGAAATAAATGATGTCATTCAAAATAAGCATAGAGGGGGAAAAAAGGATAAAGAATGGAACTCAGAGAGCATTTACAGAAGTAAGAAAAAGCTATATATGTCTAGTCAGAGAAACAGAGGGACACCTGTGGTTATTTGTTAAGGCAGATCATTTTCAAGAAAAAAATGTTAAATTGGGTTTAATTTCAGTATAAGAAAGGATCTTTAGAGACTCTATTAAAAGTATGTTAAGCATCTTCTATAAGATAACAGTTATTTCAAAGAAATGAGAGGCACGTGGATGAGGTGAGAAAATGTTTAGGTGGCCAATAGGCGGGAATTCCAGTAGGAAAATTTCCTTAAAATCATTTATCCCTTTTGCTTCCTGATGAGAAGGGTTGTGAAGGGATGAGAAGAAATGTGTCAAACTTGTAAGATTTGTTGAGATTTTATTTTAAATATGAGAGAGTCTGAAGAGTAGCCTGTAATACTTTGGGGAAGAAAGAACCAGAGAATCATGAGAAGTTAGTTTTAGGGGAAGGATATTGATAGAGATGAGTGTCATTAAGACAAATTTGAATAGCAAGAAAGTGAAATATTAAGAACAGAGGGAGGAGAATTGTATCTGTAACAGTCAAGAAAATGGGGTAAAATAATGAAAGGGAGAAGGAGGAAGACAAGCAAGGTCAATTCTGGATTTTGTCACCTTTCCTGGCAAGGGATTGGTAAAGTGTAGCAAAGTTGGGTATTCCTCCAAGTGTCAGTTATTGATTATGTGAAAATAAAACTTTCCTCACAGAGAAGTGTGTTGATTTCTGTTCCCTCTTGTTCTGTTTTGTATGAATTAATCTGGTAGTTTTCTATCTGAACATTAAATCAGTGTTGCTGGGTATCCCATTTAAAACTCCCTGATTTTAAAGAGTCAAAGTGCATCTCAAAATATCTTTCCAGCTATTCCACAGTCTCCTCTGCTGCAAGAGGGCTAAGTGATGTAATTGTGTCAAATATAACCTGCTTATAAATATCCACAGTGAAAATTAAAAAAAAAGATTCTGAAATTACTGAGTCTGCACGGGATGCTGTGCTTGCCCTTATCACTTCTAGGGATGATATATGGCTCTGTAGGAAAGTGAGATAGCCTTTGAGGTGAGGTTTCTGCATTTTTTGCAGTGCAGAAAGGATGTGGAAAGAAAATGTTTGTTCTTCTGGAAAAGTGAGAGAAACGAGAGCCAGGAAGTAGAAAAAAATAGTTTATCTATCTCACATCCTTTGTTCAAAGCCACTGGGTAACGATTTGAAGTTAGAAACATGAGAAAGGCTCAGTGAACCTAGGTATTGTAGAAAAGCATAGGAAATGGGTGAGGGTTTATTCAGGGAGCAAAGCGTGAGTAAAACTTTGCAATAAACATGAGCCAAAAGTCATGTAATATTTTTCAGGATTCTTCATAAACTTAGAAAACTCTTTTATTAACACTTTTGTTTTTCTTTTATTAAAAATGGGATTCTTAAGAGCAGTTACTTGAGAAAATATGGGAGAAATTTTTGGAGAAAATCGAAAGGATTTTTTTGTAATTTCTCTTTTTCTAAAACTCTCAGCTAGAAACATATTTAAAAGACGAAATAAATAAAAAAAAGAAGTTCTCAAATATGTTTACATTTTGTGAGGCCATCACAAATATTTATGAAACTCCCAAGAAAAAAAAATATAAATTTTTGAAATATAATATATAAAATACACAGATATATATATAGTAATCATATACACATATGCATCTATAAGTACACGCACACATACAGGTACATATATACATGCTGTTTATGCATACATACTGTTTATGTATTCATAAGTTTTATATTAAATTATGAAAATATTATTAAAGAAAAAACTTGTTAAATATGAGTGCTGTGTTATAATTTGACCCATGCCATTTCGATTCATGCTGCTAAAAAATTTGATGGAAACAAATAGATGAAATTGTACTGTGAGTAGGGAATGTGTAATACTGCATGAACTTTTCATATTTGTTCTATTGTTCATATTTGTTCCCAGCAACAACAAAAAGGTAATATTTTATTATTCCTTCTTCTACAGGAAGATAACTGTTCTTTTATAGCAATGTCACAGGCTTATTTTCATTTAGATTTGAACTTCCACAAGTAAAAAGGGCTATGTCTGAGTAAGCTATTCCATTATCTCGGTATTTGATGGACAAACACAAGCATCTCCAGGGTATGAGACTTTTCACTCTAAAACCTAGATGGAGTGAACAATTCTCTGAAGGTGCCTATTGATCTTTATGAGCTAATGTCCAAAGATTTTGATAGGCCCAGGTCTAATTGTGCAAAGGGAGACTGGATGATTAGCTTGGATTAGTCACTTGAATTTCAGATAGTTACCATTATGGAAAATTAAATCCATATACCTAAAATGGATTATTAAAAAATGGGGCAAAGAGACTTTGTTCTAGAAATCTCATTTTCTGCTTCATTTCATGTCTAATATAATTTAAACTTTAGAATTTCAAAGAGTATTTTGTATTTGCCATATTGTAACTAATGATATGATTTTTTTTAATTAATGTTTTCTCTTGCTTTTATGGTCAGAATTTGCCAGTTTAAAGTCAGACTACCAAGAAAATGATTTCTAGCTTATAATACTGGAATGTTGTGAGGTGCTTTTATGAACATGCATCTCTTTATTACAATTTCATACTGCTATTATTTAAGTACTAGCAGATGATTAAACATATTTAGCTAAGATTTCTATTTTACATTTGCATATGTTGTATTATTTAAAAAATATTTCTGTATATGTATATTCTTTCTTAAATACTATCATCTGCAATATATATATAAGTACATCTTAATTTTTCTATCTTAGTGCATCTAAAATTCTGAAAGTACAATCTGATTTTTCTTTCATGTTCATCTAGACCAGTATCAAGATTCTTGAGTGTCCATTTATATACATAAATATACATATATATAAATATATATTTCTTTACTTATCTTTTCTTGGAGGATGGAAAATGTATTCTAATAATAATAATTAGACTGATAATATTTATAAAGAAGAAATGAAGTCTCTCTCATGACATTGATTCTTGTGTTTTATTTGTCAACCTGTAGTTGAATATATAGTGAAATGAAATGTATGAGGTATCAACTGTAGATTTTTCACTATGAACTAATTTAAAATTAATTTTCCCCTCCTTTAATAATGTAGATTTTGATATTGAGAAATGACATTAAATCATTATGTCTTCATATTTTTATTTAAGCTTTTAATTATTCCCCTTAAAAAGAAAAATACATGTGAAGCAGCACGAAGGATCATCTACCTGAATATATCTTTTAAACATCACTGGAGACAACAGTCTGTAACACAGCATATTTTAACAGGAATAGAACATTTTCTACAGAAAACTAATTGTACAACTACTACTGGGATATAACTTGCAGTTTTGCTTTGAAATGTCATGGCAAACTGGAAAATTAATTGAAAAATCCCCTTGAGTTAAACTTTGGGTTTGAATAAAAGTCAGTGAAACTCATCTATGATCACTAGGAATTCCATTTTTCTGGGTTACTACCATAAAGCTTTCAATGGCATTTCTAATTTTGTAGTTAAAATGATATGCATGAAAAAGAAGTAAAAATTAATCTGTGATACAATAAATACAGCAATTTTGGGATAAATTTCCTCTTCACTCTGTATACATATTGAGGTCTTCTTTTAAGTGCCCTTTTTCATATCAGATTAACATTCCTGTGTTAAATTATGCAAAAAATTAAACCATTCAAAAGTTTACTAACTTCATGTCATTACATTAATGCATGTAAAGATATATGCATTAGCTCAAAATTTGGCCTTGATTCCAAAATTCAGCGCATGATAATCGTGTTGCCCTTTCTCTCATCAGTTTGCCAGATCATACTCAAAACAGACAAACTGCTTTTGTTATATAATTAACAGATTAATAATTTCTCAACTCCAAAACAGATTTCTGCAGCTATCTAATTTTATCTTCTGTATAAAATGCAGTGTGTCTGGGCCATGCCTTTCTTGGACCCCATCTGAGCCCCAGCAACACTCTCAACAAGTATGACCAAGACGTACTGTTCAATCCTGTCCCTTTTGTTGATCTGATCATGATGCACTAGCAGCTCCTGCTTATGTGTGATGTGTCCTTTTTATCCCTACCCTTTCAGTTTTCCACACTGATCCATCTTGAGGCATTCTTGCCCTGCTTTTGGCCCTAACCTTCCCATAAAAAAAAGTTTTACAGTCTCACAATGCCATTAAAAAATCTACGTATATAAAATCTACACAATCTTGCAGATCCTCTCAAATGCCCCATATTGATGTCCATGTGCCCCCAAATGTCCATGAGACACAAGATAATCCTGTTGCCCCCCATCTGGGGCCTCTGCAAGGCTGTTAGTGGCCTTGCAATAAAAAAAAAAAAGACTTTTGGCCTGTGTTAGGAGACTTTTTTTTATTCTGGGGGTTGGGGTTGGTCTTTTTTGCTTTTCCTATGAGATTTAATATATGTCTTCTATTATTATTATTTTTTTCCCGATGGGAGTACCTCAAGGTAATTAATCTTCTTACACCACATTAATCTTCAATCTTATTTACCATTGATCTTCTGAAGTAGTGCATTATTAGGTAGATATTATAGAATCATTAATAAGCTTTCTGCAACTGGGTACGCTTTCCCAGTGGAGAGCTCAGGAGCAATATAGGCTAGCTAATGTCTCCTATTTTCTCTTTTACTTGAATTTTCTCTCCTTTGCACCTGAGCTTCATGATCAGACTGTCAGGTACTGAACTGCAGAAAAAGTAATTTAGATAATTGTCTGTTTTGACCTCTAAGTCCTATTTATTGCTGTTACATTGCAGGATATTTTCCATTTCAGGATGTGTCATGTACGACCTGTATGGTACCATAAATAAGCATGCTGTTGGCATATGTCCCATTTTACTGAGAGATTTCCCTTTTGAAGAGAGGGTGTGTTGTTTTTTTCTGTTTCATGAGTATGTAATTTCCTAGTCTTCCTCTCAGGATTCAGTCACTGCTATCATACAAGGATAATCCTCACTCCAGGGAATAAAATTTACCTTTCCCATTCTATGTAAACCAATTTGCAGTTTTGAACAAATGCAGTGCATTACAACAAAACACAAACATGTATCTCAAAATTTTCTACACCAAATGTCCATATTTTTCAGCAACAAGGTGAAAGTGAGAGGTACCATCAAAAGAAGGTTAAATACAAAAAAAAAAAAAAGAAAAGAGAAAAGAAAAAAAAAAGAGAAAAGAAAAGAAAAGAAAAGAAAAGAAAAGAAAAGAGAAAAGAAAAGAAAAGAAAAGAAAAGAAAAGAAAAGAAAAGAGAAAAGAAAAATACTGGACTACCATTTTCTGAACTACCATTCATAATGAAATGCATGAATTTAATCAGTGACATAATTGCATTTATGTTAATGGTGTTATATATAAGTCTAATTCTATTTTTTCTAACAGGGGTGCAGTTCACCTTTTACACGTTTCATCTGGAGGATCATCATGACTACTTGCTAATAACAGAGAATGGCAGTTTCACACAGCCATTAGCACGTCTGACTGGCTCAGAACTTCCTTCACCAATCAATGCTGGTCTCTATGGAAATTTTAGGGCTCAGCTGCGCTTTATTTCAGACTTTTCAATATCGTATGAAGGATTTAACATTTCTTTCTCTGGTAAGAAAGTATTTGAAATACCTGCAAGAAGAATAATTCAGTATCTTATGAAAAAAAAAATGTTTACAGCTGAAATTATGTGGACAAATATTTATACCGAATCATAAAATACTGCAAGTTGTTTCCAAAGCACAAAAAATTCAAACCAAGTAGACCTCTGTGCCTCTATCTAGATGTTTCCACAACACGATAAATAAAATCAGTCAACTGTAAGCAGAATTACCAGGTCAGGAAGGAAAATAGAGCTAGTCCAATTCTGATTGGTGAAATTCCAGATGAGCCCAGGGCTATATTATTTGGGCTAATTCCTTTCTTTCTTTCTTTCTTTTCCTTTTTTTTTTTTTTTTTTTGTTGTTGTTGTTGTTTAGCTCTGCCATTATTTGAGTTTGTTTTATGTACGTGGGACTTTTCTGGCTCATGTAAGAGTGATAAATAGTGTTGTGTTATGCGGCAGTCCTGCGCCATGTGCTCTAAGTGACCCTGCGTGTGCAGGGTGGGTTGGACTAGATGATTTCTAGAGATCCCTTCCAACCTTAACGATTCTATGATTCTATGATTCTGTGATCTTAAAAACATTGCGAATTGGTCATTGGTCTTATTTTTGAATGTAGAATGTTTACCAGTCTAGCATTCATGCATTCATTTTTTTTTTTCAAATGTAAAATCTGTATTGGTGGTCAGGTGGAAATATATGGAAAATAGAAGACTGCAGAATTGCAAATATGCTTGATAGAAAACACAAGTAATTCTCACACAAGTTGGCTTGCTGTCTTGTTTTTAGAGTATAATCTTGAGCCTTGTGAAGATCCTGGGATCCCACAGTTTGGTAACAGAATAGGATTTAATTTTGGAGTGGGAGACATTCTGACATTCTCCTGTTCATCTGGATATCGTTTGGAAGGATCTTCAGAGATTATTTGTCTTGGTGGTGGCCGACGAGTATGGAGTGCACCTCTGCCAAGGTGTGTGGGTACGTGGTCAGCTGCTTTCATTTGCTTGTATGTGTAGTCATTGTCCATGGAGTTGCAGATATACAGCATGGAAAAGCATGGTAAACACCCCTTTAATTTAATGTACTTTCACATTCTCCATATCTCTTCAGTCAGTTTCTTTAATTTTTCTTAATATGATTATTGAAGAGTTATTAATAGACTTTGTAGTTTGTGCCTTGATGCATTTAAAATTGAGGACAGGATACTTGTTCCGATTTTGGTGATTTGGTATATTATCCTGGTTATAAACCGAAGGTTAGTACTTACCAGCTCAGGTGACTAATAACTGA